ACCCGAAAAGCGCTGAACGTAGCAGCAACAACGCTGGTCCGGCTATCATCACATTTCTTCCAAAAGTGTTTGGATAAGCAATTTGTGCCCATCATGTGGAAACATGAAGTAATCACTTCGATTTTCAAAAGCGGCAATGGCTCGGAACCTGCCAACTATCGCGCGGTGGTCCTACTCCGTGTGCTCTCAAAGGTGATGGAGGCAATCGTCGCTGATGCTTTAATAGACCATCTATAATGTCACAACATCATAGCCCCCGAGCAAAAGGGTTTCCACCAGAACCTTTAATGGACTACCAACCTACTGATTGCATGCATTAGTTGGACGGAAAGGGCCCATACAGGCGAAGGGGCAGACGTTATTTACCCTGATTTCTCCAAAGGCTTCGACCGACTGGATCACCGCATTCTGCTTCACAGGGTCGGAAGCTATGGAGCTGGTGATCCTGTCCTTTGACGGATCAGGAATTCCCCGCAGGATCGGCAACTGTAGGTCAGAGTTCGAAGTGCGCTGTCAGATCCGATTCAAGTCGGAGGTGAAGTTCAACAAGGAACCAGAAATTTAAAAGTGCTGTCTGGTGTCTTTCCGAACGTTTAGATGCCTGCTGACTGAGAGGGAACTGCGAGGAACCACCTCTGAACTTATAACAAAATCCTCCCTACTCGTTAGAAAGCATACAACCGTTGGAAAACTGAATTTTCACTTTGACAGTTTTGGCATCTTATCGACGCGATAGGCACACGCTAGGTACGCTCGGTGTCACACTCACTGAGCGAACGTTACAAATCCTTAGACGGACACATGCCTGATGATCAGAAGTTGTTCTCGTGTTGAAAGGAATGGTACGCGTTCCAATTCGAACTCGTGTGACTGTCCTGTCTATAGCTGTTCGTCTGAGATGACAGTCGAAGGTGACAGTGTGGCCATGAGGCTGATCACAGTAGGGTTTGATAGTTGAGTATCGTGGCCGTGCCCCTAAATCGCTCCAATATGAACTAGTTGAGAACCTGAGAGGGGTTCGTTGTGGAGGTACGTACGTTACCCTGTATACCCACGCAACGTTGAACTTGGACAAGTGAGAGCTGGTTCGAAGGTCGCTGAAATGCCCTATCCACTGAGACCAAATGTGCTACGACGGTTGGGAATGTGCAAGTTTGTGCGCATCGGTCTCGATGAAACACTGCCCGGAATTTGCAATTCAGGATAAATGTAGAGTGCACTGGTAGTGTTCTCGAAATCTTATCATTAAGTAGAGCTTGTAACATAAGATGAACGAATATAGCTTCGGTGGTTTGTGACAAACTGCGACTGTGTAACAGCAAGTATCTAAGCGCGCCCGAATGTGCGATTAGCACGAATTTTGTGTTCACAACCACAAGGTTGGAGGGACGATGAGTCACCGACTACATCTAAGGTGACGCAACAAACCATACCATTTGATTTCTCTACTTCTACATCTGGGACCATAACTTGGAGAGTGATTCCACTTAATTGTCCGTCTTCAAATCAAGTCACTTCAAAATAAGCTTTATGAACATTAATGAGTTCATTTTCAAGCTTTTATACCACGACCTCAGATACCTGGATGGTAATATACTATAATGTGTTTGACAGGGAACCGAACCCCGGTCCAACGAATTTCCGGTCCGCTGCTCTACAACTGAGCTACCGAGGGCTGACAATTAGGTGCGAAATTTTTAATACATGACTTCTGCTTGGTGCGTGACACATTGCCAATGAGCTCGCAGTATCTGTCCTGGTGTCCTGCAGACTTCTACTTTCTACGAACTTTAAACTACTCACAAACCCACATTAATCTACCATCGCCATTTGGACATCTGAAGGACAAATACTTCGGTCCATTTGGAAGTGACGGGTGAGTGAGCCAATCTGCAACACCAGGACAGATACCGTGAGCTCATTGGCGATACGTCACGCATCAAGCAGAAATCATGTATTAAAAATTGCGCACCTAATCGTCAGCCCTCGGTAGGTCAGTGGTAGAGCAGCGGACCGGAAATTCATTGGACCGGGGTTCAATTCCCCGTCGAGACACATTATTGTATGTGAATTTTAATCGCGACTTCTACTTTCTATGAACGTTACACTACTCACAAACATCCACAATTAATATACTATAACACGCGCTTGGGGAGAAAATCGGCATAAGGCAGGAATGTTGCTCCAACAACCGCTCGCGCAACAGGTTAGCGACTTTCGCTGCGTCAACAAGCAAACGTGAGAGACAAGGCAAAGCAGTGGTACGATGCGAGAAAGTGCAGGAGAAAAGAATTTTGAATTTCTAATGAGTAGCGGAGAATGAGTGTGTTGTGGAAAGATCATTGTGAAGCGACTGAAGTCGATCAGTTCGTATCTTAGAAGAAGCATCATTGCAGGTATTAGGAAGTCTAGAAATGATCAAATCAATTAAAGAATCTCTATACAAGCCGCTGCATCTGGAAATGTGCTTTATAGATCACACCAATAGGTTGTAGTCTTTCTGATGTAGTCCAAGAAAATGACAGGAGAGCAGTCTAACCAATGGTGAATAATGCAAGAGGTCCCAAATCTGAATAATAAATTACGAGGTACTGAGAGCACCTTAAGTCTGAAAGCATAAAAAGAACGTTTGCTGGCTTTTTGAAAAGTTTTACAGACATGCGTGGATGAAGTAAGGTACTGTGACAAATAGACGCCGAGATACTTGACGGTGGATGAGCTGGGTATAGGATTTCCATTTACCGTAGGTGTGGGGGAGGAAGTTATGAGGGACAGCAACATATCGCTACGTAGAAAAGAAAATATTACATCCCTGCATTTAGAAGCATTAAGCGTAATAGATGTGGATGAAGAACATTGCACCATATCTTCCAACCCAGGTTGAACTGATGATAGTTGTGGGTTTGATGTTTTAGTTGGATAAACATAAGAGTAGGCCGGCGCACTGGATGTGTTCGAATCCCACTGACCACTAATGTGGGGTGGTGCGATTAACCGTGCATTGCATGGCACAGGTATAAAGCGGTGAAACCCTAGTTGATTGATTAAGCATATACCGTATGTTACGGTATATAAGCCGAGGAATTTTGGACATTTTCTCATGTCTGTAGTGAGAGGTAGGCTTATACAAAGGCCATACACAATTTAAAAAAAGCTCAGGCAAAATCCACCCAGAAATTCACTACACACCATATGCCTTAGCATCACTCGATAGTGACTGATATTATCCCAGGCGGAGATTTGAAGTGCCTATAGGTAGACACATTGTGTTTGTGTCGAAAATTCTCGATGTCTTGCACATTTGACTTTCGCGACGGATGACAATAATAGAAACATAGTCATTATACAGAATCGAACACCAGCACCCCCAAAACGTTGGAAAAATATATGACAGAACAGCACGTACCGGTAGATTGCATACGCTCACATATCCAAACGCTGCAATCAGGTATTAATATTACTCGAACCCTTCGAAACTAGAATCCGAGTCACAATCTCCAAACAGCTTATGGTACTGGTCGTTTGTCATTGGCATGTCAGGGTGAATATCGTCATCTGTGCAGTTAAATTCATAGTTCTGACTGCTCCATGCTCCAGTAACTGCGATCATGACACATTAGGTCATCGGAACTGACCAATAGTAGAGCAGCTTTCGCTTGAGCACACTCAAGTGAGAGCAGGTACTGATGAAGTCAAAATCGTGAGTAACAATTTCGCTTCTCTTTTGCTGTTTTTTTGTGGAATCGGCTAATGTAAGGAATCAGGATTTTGGACACACTTGACGTTGCAAATTAATACTGTCGGCTAATACACGGATCGGCTTATACATTTGTCTGTTTCTCGACGACATCATTGATGGTGGCTGTACTATTAATTAGCGCATCAGCTATAGTTAAACAAACATCTAGATAGCTTAGCGGTTATTCGTCGTCAGTGAACTGTGTTCAGCTACAGGTCCCGGACGCTTGGTACGCCGGGATAGTTAAACGGTGACAATGGTATCGATTTGGGACGAAGACTGCAATGGGCACTTTCTATCACATGGTGCACCGTAACCGCTTACGGCTAACAATCCTGCAACTACTATCTCTTGGGATGTGAGGCTTAATTACGATGATAGAAATGCGTACCTCTTTCTTTCAGCATCCGTTATACCATTATTTCCACATCGACACGAGTAGGAGATCGGTAACAAACACCAGTCAGCGAGCGTTATTGTTGAAATCGACCTTCGTTCGTATGGTATATGAACGACTACTTCGACACTATGGTGTCACCTGACCATCGATACTGACAAAGTAGGAAGCAGAATTAATGGGAATTGTTCTATCTCTAAGTTGTCGAGGATGTGATGGAATGATCCGCAGTCAACGATGCCCATCAACAGGCTAGAGAATTACGGAGACATAGCAGAGCAATAAGTTGATCGAACTCACCAGTGATGTTCTAGAGAGAAAGCAGCTCGTGACAAGCAATATTTATTCAGACAAACTCAAATAGCCTACGGCGGTAACATGGCGAAGCGCAATCGGGTATGGCTGATGGTTACTTGGCTCTCGAATGGATAGACAAAACACTAAAATAGGGTCTAATTCCTAGCAATATGAGCACCTACAGCTTATCTTCGGGTAGTGAATGGCTCCACAGCTCCTGTCATTTGAACTCATGGATTATGTACGGTCGTGATAAGGTTGTTTGAAATGCGCCATGCAGGTTCACCATTGTAGACATTATGATGTGAATAACCACTCATTGGTATCAGCTCTCTATGTTTCCTTCGGATGCAGATTCAAAATAGCACGCCTCGGCATAAATCGAGTTTGATCTAATACGTTCCAATCGGGCTGGGGGAATAGTCTAGCTGAGGGTTATGTCACAAGTCCCTGCAAGCTGTGGTGTCTGTATTCACTTAAACCGTGTGACTTGTGTTCGCATGGTTTTCGTCCGACTCCATAAAATTGCCAGCGATTTAGTTTGAGAAATCGGCAGAACTGCAATATAACAGGTAAATACTGTATATTTGGCATCTTTTACACACGAAAACAGCGGTAATATAGAACATCTCGAGTCTGTGGAAGTGACGATATGACAGCAGCCTTATGCTTGTCTCCGCGGATGAAATGCAAAGAGTCCGTCAGATGGACCGCGAGTGAGTCCCTCGGTGTCGTATATGGGGCACTCGATACTTCCATTTGAATGTTGTCTCGAGTCAGTGATTAGGAATTTGGCATTTATTGTGCTCACAATATGTTCCAAAAGAGCGCCAGCGAGTCGTCTTCCTGGGCACGACCGAGCTCCTAAACGGGGAATAAGATGTGAAAAATCAATATACCTCTTAATGCAGTGCATCGCCAACGCCCACTTTGGACGCACTTGGTGTAAGACATGTTACTCAGTAAGAACCCAATGCTGTATATGAATAATATCATACCTACCGTAAAAATACACAACACCAACACGTTATGTCATCTCTATCGGAAGGTTCCGGCCGCACGGTCTAATCACCCGTCCCATGTCATGGCTGGGTGATGGTATCCAGTCTGGCAATCTATTCACCGTGAGGACTGGTGGTGCGATCGTGAGGGAAATTTTGTGGCGTTCTCATACTGTTCACTGGAGTCGTTGGTGACGTGTCAACCTGTCACCATAGATCGGGGTATGTGCTGATATGCATGTCAAAGTAGCAGGCATGCTGCTATGTTGACTGCCTTTAAGAATTGCTTTCCTCTGAGCATCCGATTGCAAGGATCGTTATGTGTGTGCGGAATGCAACAGTTTATTGGTTCGTGCTCCAGACGATTGGTTAGATGGTTTCCAGTTTAGTAGTTGATATTCATCCACCACCAGCAATAGATTGGCCAGTTTATTCGCTGTCATCTAATGCAGGCTTAGTTAAGCAAGCGCTGTTGATCGAGAAACATGTGGCGGATGAGCTAGCACCCACAGTGGCACAACATGATTGAAGTACACATTCTACGTGGGAGATTGTCATTCTTCTGCATCTGTCCATAATGTCTGCCCCCGATCAGCGAGGCGTCAGTCGGAAGCTCACTTCCAACTCATCGCATCCTACCCATCGCTCAAAAACCTGGCAATAATTTATGTTCGTCCATCTTCCATTTTTTAATATCATCATTGGGATCATTGCAGTTTGACAGGTCCTTTAACATCAGTATTTGACATCGGGACCGAATGACATTTAATGGACTTTATGGCTACTGACTGCTGGTGTTCTACAGTGAGCTGTGTAAAGACATCCGGCGTACCCAATTGGGATGCCCATACAAGCGTTTATATCAAAACTACCTTTGTCTACAACAGGCGCATTATTGAGGGAAATGGGTACTGCTGGTCGTTCGACACCGAGTGCACAGTTTTTGCATGTACAGTTGGCACTGCAACTCCAGCACAAAAATCTCTCAGTGCAGGAATGATGCAATCATAGGAGGATTATCGTGATGTGTAAAAGCAACTTACCTATGGAAAAGGGAATTGGGTCTGGGGCATCGTTGAGGATGCGTGATTGCGCCTGATGCACAGCGAAAAGATTGAACAGAAGGATGGTATCCTTCGGTATGTGATACCCAGCAATTGTCACAGGTTCTCTGGTGATGTAGGGTAAGCCCAACGGCACCACACTTGCAAGGCGGTGTATGTTTTTCAAGTGTCGGTCCATGTCCTCTTGGATAAACACATCCGGATGTTGGCTCATATAGGCACATGCCCAGGTGAGAGTTGTCGAGCTGGTCTCCGTCCCGGCTGCCATCATTTCGAACGCCAGGCGTTCGAGTTCCCCAGCTATGAACGGAATACGGAGGCACAGTGATCGGTATACAGAATATCATTTGGACTTCAGACTAAAAAGCTAGATCACCGTCTAGACGCGACCAGTTTGTATTTAACTTATTACTTATTAAGAAGCAGCTTACTTATGAATAGTGGGAAAGTAGTATGCTTAGAGATAGTTCTTCAATGCGCAGTCTCAGTCAGCAGGCTTAGACTAGCCCGGAAAAGCACCAGACACCGGAGTTTCGACCTTCTAGGCCTCCTTAGTGTTGCACCCTAACTTAACCGCATTCAACTTGACAACCTGTTGTAGTGATTTGGTGCGAATGATAATGTGCGTCTGTCCCTGTTTGTGAACTGGAACTAAGGACGAAAAACAAGGGAACGTTATTCATGAGGAATATTGAACACGTACTTTGACCTTGTGACACTCGTTTTACACTGACTTACCCTGGCCATCCATTTTGTGTCAGCCGGGGTCTTGTCCATTTCATGCTGGATTGGGTCCGTCCAAGTTAGTCTGAGATAATTAGTCATTATCTGCTGCAACGTGTATTGCTCACAAATCTCCGTCTGCTTGTTTCATGCTTCCATTGGCTGAGTACGTAGTATCAGTTGCATAGACATGATTTTCCTGAAGATCGTGCCATCGGCATCTGTCTTTTTAGTTGCATACCTGTGGACTCTTTAGCCGCTATTAGTAACCCTGGACCCCTCTGAATATATGAAAAGAGTGACTGAGCGTTTTTTCTTGTGGAACAATGTACCCCAACCATGTCAGCAATGGAAGCGCTATGGTAAAGTAACCTGCTGACTGATGCTTTCCACGGGATACATTCATCTTTGGTGCAAACGTGGTCACAATGACGACGCACTCTGTGAGCCAGCCTTGTCCACCACATGTTCATAGTATTCGTGACCATTGGGGATAAGCTGCGCTGCATCGCAGTTCGATATCGGTCGGCTGCAGTCAGCCATGCCTCAATGGCATACATAACTGACTCTTAAAATTATGGTCATGGGTTCGGATCCGGCATGACCCCCAGAAGGTGTGCGCGGCTGACGAGTCCCAATCAGACGAAACGGCCAAGTAGGGCATTCTTGGATGTGTAGTGTCTGTTTGACTGGGTCTAACGGCGACGAATAATCCCGGAAACACAATAAGTCCTAAATAGCTTGGAACATATTTAGAACCGAAAAGGACGTCATCATTTTAGAAAACTTAGTAGACGACTGGTTAATATATTTATGCTGATACACTACGTTTTGCAAAGGCATCATCAGGCGAAGTGAATTAGCTTAACATTGGCATTTTATAACGCTCATCGCTAAGCTACATACTGAGACTAAACAATCTCCGCATTGATGAACTGCAAATCGATTAGTTTCTGTATGTAGCTTAGCCATGATTGTTATAAAATTCCAATGTTAAGCTAATTCACTTCGTCTGATGAAGCATTTGTGTCAAAGGCGAAACCTTATGTATTAATCTAAATATGTTAACCTGTCTTCTACCAAGTTTTCTGAAAAAATAAGTCCTCTTAATATTCTCTAATGAGGATGCACAATGCTTTTTACTGAGAGTATTCGCCATGGTCAATTTTGATCAATGAAGATTAGAGTAAGAAATGGTTACCTTAGTGGACAAATATTGTGGAAGCGCTTCTCACGATATAACCACAGCCTCATGTCCTACGTATTGACTACAAATTTAGTTGCTTCCAGTATTCGCTTGAGTTGACATAGTTCCTGGTCGCATCACAAGTTCACAACAACCTCAGTGGATGTGGGTGTGCGACACAAAACGGAATGTTGTTACTTGGCTAAATCTCTCGGTGGCTCCACCTGGCTACAGTCTCCTCTGACAGTTTCCACGCTATGCAACTGCATCGAATCCATCCATAACCGCACATCGGCACAGTCCATTGCAAACGAGGATGAAATAATGCCAACCGAACATTGTGTTCGCCAGGACTCTTGTGACATGGCCATAGGGACGCCTGGATCTCTGATCCTGTGCATGGCTTGTTGAGTTACATAAACTCGCTTGCTCCCTTCTTTCCAGTCATTTTCCCATTCGGTCTGGAATCCTTACTCCTCTCGTCTTACATGACTTGTCTTTAACGTTGTGTGCACCCATGCTGAGGCTGATGTTGCATTCATGAGGATTCTTCACCGCAGTTGGGCTAAACCAACTTACCCTTAAACTAGGACTCTTTTTAAGCTGGATAAATTTCATTCCACTTCATTTTCGTTGTTCTGCCTGCCGGAATAATCTACTATTAAATTTCCACTTTGCTTACGGTAATTGTGCTTATCTTCGTTAACTTTATTGCGTTTGTATCATTTTCTGAGCCATTTCTGGACATTTTTTACTTATCGCGGATTCGTTGCTAACCAACATATTTTATATGCTACATATATGCTACTTTATATTTTTGCGTAGCCGTATATTTTAACTGATATATTTTATTTGTTATTGTTATTTCAAGTGATTTGCTGTTGTTTTGACATCCCGGTGCGGCTGCGCCTGATGTGCACGTTGACAAGTTGCCCACCTGTCTATTACTTAATATCTCGTCCATACTGGGTCTAGGAGACAGCTGGTCGTTGCTGGAGTGGACGGGGTGTACGGTCCTTGTGGTCGTGCTAGGCTCGAAGAGTGGTTCCATGCACTCAGTGTGGAGCGGACTACGGTCCAGCCACCGCCTAGTGTGCGCTTGATTCCCCAGAAACAGTGTGCTTGTGTTTGCCTGTGAAGGAGTGTGGGCCGGCTCCGTTGATGAAACGTGGCTCCCATCCACATGCTTCCCGATCTTATTCCTTCGGGTTTACACTGGATATGGGGTGTGTGGTTGGAGCTGTTGGTGGTGCAGTGCAAGCCACCCATGGTCCCTCTGTAGGCGCAGACGTTCTGTGGCTGACCACAGTGACAGGCAAATCCGAAACTGGATGCTACCAACCATACACGTTGTGAACCGCCGCTCATTGTGGCTGCGCATCACTGCCATTCAAACACAGCTTAATCGGCCACACCATACGAATACGGAATCCGGAGTTTGGTGAAGTGGAGGAAATTGTAGAACGAAGCTAGACTGGTGAAGCGCCAGTAATTTAGATCCCTGCAAACTCGCTGTTGCCTTGGGGCCAGAAACCCCTTAGCTATTATGTGTTGATACTGCCACATTTATGAAGGATATTCCAGCGACCGTAGTTCAACATCGACTGTCATTTGTTTAACCCGTTCCGGGAATTGACGTTCATTGAATCCAAATTGGAGACTGCGGATCAATGTTCTACGTGTTGGTCCAATTAATCTAAGCGATCTAGACAATACGACAATGAACCAACCACAAGTCATATGCTTGCTAAGATCAAGTTAATCTGCAGGCCTCTTAATCATTCATCAGTCATGTGACAGCACTCGCTTTCCAAATGAAATGCTGTCTAATACAAGTGTCGCTGAGTTGACCTCGGATTCGTTTTAGTCTGTCTCATTCTAAGTTCGAAGTATCAAATTTATGTTTGATTCCCCCTTAATGTTCGTGCTTTTACACCAAGTCATTAGTCAGGCCCTTCTAAATACGCGGTAGCAACAGTGAAACAGTTGCCAGCTCCACCGATAATGAAAATGTGATCTCTCAGCGTCCGAATGGAGCTAGTGCAGCCTAAGGACTGTAGCCAAGGTAACTGGGACTTGATGACATCAATGACCTGTGAGTCGCCAACCGGTGGTGTCGGCGATGCGTTAGAACTAAGAATAGGGTGTCAGCAAAAGAGCGGCGGTGTCGTATGCCGAACACAAATAATGTGCTCTATATCCGAGGGGCATGCCATCAGTAATGGTAATGCATATTGCCTGACGATGTCACACCGAGTTGGGCGGAACCACGAGATGGTAAGAGGGCACACAACAAAGAGATGCGCCGAGCGATTGAGTTCAGTTAGCGCATGCGGACCTGCCGAGGACGGCCTCAAAAGCCTATAAATATTCACCGACCAAATGGCCTGCGTTGAATACAGCCAACGCAATGCAGTCATCAGTTGTATCATTTTATCCCTTCAATGAAGCAAAGGGGCTCCGAGCACCTAAATGATATGGGTCCGATTACCGCTACTTGCGTTACCATGTACAGACGAGTAATCTGCTACTAGGACACGAGTCAAATCAGCTGTGCCATACAGGACAATGTTTCAAACCACTCTCTGGCCCATCCCAGGACTCGTTCCCATGCAGGTAGCAGTTACGGGCATGGTCAAAGCTCTCCGACGAAAGCCTCACACCCACTTACGTGAGGCGGCTATCGACAATGCATATCTAAGTAAACGGTCAAATGTCATACGAAGAACGTGACCTACTGAGCCGTGGCGAATTGAGGTTGTCAAACTATCCGGTGCGGTAACAGATGGACACTTTCAATAGCAAACGGCAATCCGGAAAGCAACACTAGGGTTTCCCGTTATTTCTAGCCTATCATGTCTAAATGAGAACAGTATTCATGCATCAAATACTTACTTTCAATCGTGAGTTTGGTGTCCTCTTTGAACCGGCCAATCAATGAGCTGTGTCCGATGTGATTTACGCTCGCTCGCTTCACCGCGTCATTCAGCACAGCACACATTTCTGTGTAACGCTTTGTCAATCGTTGAACGCGGATCATTTGACCAACCAACGGGATGCGCTGCGTAATCGACAACCTGAAAGACGTCACGAAAGGGCGTTAGTTTGATGAACTGAACTAATACTACATTTGTTATGCAATGTTTGCAAAGTTCCTCTGGACTCCTAGGTTCCGACAACCTAGTCGATGTCCCACTGATGATCGCGCAAGAGACCAGCGCAAGTATTAGTTCGTCATTGTGCTGAGACGAACGGCACCTGAGTGACCCCCCATCGATATTGATAGTAAGGATATCAATTTGTTAATCCCATAGGGAATCTAGCGGGCAAAGCTGGCAGAGATTTGAGCTGCGCAGAGAAAAACCGTAAATCCTCATCCGCACTACAAGATGCAAATATTATCAATCACTGCTATTGTTTTAGCATATGATGCTCACTAGATCGCCATTGCTGGCCTCTATTTGAGGTAAATCAACACCATCTATTAATGGGATATTCCTATTCCGCTTCACAGAAAAATAGTACTTTTTGTTGAATTGGCAGCTACCCTTTGCAATTGCTGTGACTCTAGTTAGTTGTATGTCGGTGTAGTGTAACATACTAAGATTGTGTTGTATTAGACGGTTTGACGGTTCCTTTTCTCCAGCAGAATGATAGGTTGGAAAGCGTAGCAAGTCTCAATGGACGGGTTGCAGCATATCATTCAAAGTGAACCCGCAGGATCCGTTTGTTCAAATTGGAGCACCTGGCATCGAAGTTTACCATAGCTGCATATAGTAAGATACGGGCCAACGTGGTATCCTGGGCTCGAGTTAGTAAACTAGCATTCGCTTTGAACTATTATCCACATAGCCCTGATGTGCCGCCGGTGTTTTCAACAAACTGAATGACATTCATGAAAATCTGGTAGTGTAACCCACAAAAACAGAGTGAACTTTAACTGATCATTTTACGCCGTCAGGACTCATCAGTAGGAGTTCTCTGCAACTAAGTGTTCGTCCGTGTGTTGTTTGATTGCTTGGTTTCGTCTATTTGCGAGGAAGTCCCCTCAAATCAAATGAACCTATTTACTGGGTGGTATTGTGAGAATGGGTCGCTGTTTTGTGAACCGAAGTGAGTATGAGCTGTAGTGTTCGTGAAACAAAACTGACCATGTTGTCTCAGGTTACTTACAAGTGTTTATTCATCAGTTGGCCGTAGCTCAACACTGAATTTTCCATGTTGTTCCCGGATATTCGTTGGAACATGTAGTCGATTTGATCGATGCTCATGTCGCACTTGTACCCAAAGACGATCGCCCACATGATCCTCCAAACCGTCCGACGCATAATAGGTCTGTACAATGCAAAACAGATGATGGTTATTGTAAAAGCAAACGGAGCAGGATAATGTTTATAACATAGCTGCGCACCTAGGCTATCCAACTTGTGACGCCGCACTAATGCAAACATGGGATGAGTGTATACCAGGCATTCACAACGTTTAATTAGCCGTGGCCCCCTGTGGAAACTTCTCATTTCTCAAGACCCCATCATAGATCATAGCACTGTCGGCGATCCGTAATGGCTAACAGACTTGAATCCGTGATTTCCAGTGGACGTCTTGGTATCTGTTGCTATGATGTCGAAACGTTTAATGTTTGTATCACTGCTCTTCCCATAACAAACCTCCTATTTCAACATTCACAGCCTCTAGATAACATTCTTTATGAGGCAACGCCAAGCCGCTTGTCTGTACCCACATAAATGTCATCATTGATATTTAATATTGTATTTAATTATTGTTAGCTTTTAACTGTATGTCATAAATTAGGAGGTGCAGTAACTTCGTAACAACTCGCTTCGCAAGATAGTAAAGCGAAGCTGGAGCTTGATGTTCTTGAGCAAGATTGCATATGTCCGGCTCCAGACTTGGCAGCGAGAGTCGAAGTTATGATGTGATGTCCAAGCTAGTTATACATTTTATCAGAGAAACCAATCTGCTGAGTTCACATTCAACCAAGTAGGTGGATGGAAAAGCAAGAAAACTTATTTAAGCCATTTCCAACCTGTGGGGTGTCTGTTAGGGGCAGCAATACTTAAGCAAAAATCCTTTTTCTCTTGCGTGGATTTGGATCTTGTCAGTGTGTCAACTTGAACGTTTATGAGACTTTTCCAGATTGTAACTCCAAGATAGCAGGGCTCTACATCAATTGGTCTGAAATCCAAACCGGGATTTCTATGTAAATCGTATCACGAAATCTGTCTTTATTTTCTTTTCGGTGTTGTTGTAAATGACTGGCATAAACAATCAAGTCTTTATCCGCCAGCTCCTCCTAGTCTGTAGCGAGAAATGAAAAGTGGGCAAATCCCCTAGTTCCGTTGCTTTGAGTATACAATTCCCGGGTTTTTTTTATGAAATGCGGCAAGGACTGGAGATGTGATTTCTCAGCTTGCCTTGAAGAGTTTTATTTAAAACTTGGGTTTCGCAGAACCATTAGCCAGAAAACACGTCTAGCTTAGCTGGTGAGTTTTTTTTTCATTATTAGTTCTAGAACGGTATGTGATCATGGTATCCCGGAGAGAAACGAAACGGCAAAAGCAGTTACGCTTGGAGAGCCACCTAAATGCTGTAAAAAACAGCAGAACCTGGAGCTATACACGGTTCTCCTCACAAACTGCTGGAGAATGCGATTTGGAACGGGGTGCGATTCGATTTCGTTGACTACTAATATAACAGATGACAATGAATCGTTTACTTGCCTGCCCAAGTTCTTAGCCACTAGGTCGGTAGTTCTCAACCTGGCAACGAATACCCCCAAGGGGATAAAGTGGAATTTTCCAAGGCCAAATAGAAGTACGCGGGTTGGGTCACCAAACTGTCGCCAAACCAAAGTATAGCAAACTTATCTGTATCGAACCATGTAATTAACTAACCAACTAAGCATTACTGATTGGCCACCAGTGACTAATCATTAGTACTTGGTCAGTGAAATGGACAAGATTTGGTAATAAATGTTATTGCGTAAAATAGTAATAGAAGTCTGCAAAGCAATGCCATTAGATGGCACCTTAATCGACTTGCTTGTCAATCGTAGTTCTTTTGAACCAGGTAGTCGTTCGCCAGGTTGAATTACTGTTTTAGTTATTGAATAATTAGGTGGGAGCATAAGTCAATCGACCAGATACGGAAGCGAGCGAATATTGGCATGCTAGAAGGGACAAAACAGGCGATCAGTGTTCTGGGCGTATCGATACGGCCTGGCTGTAGGAATCTGTCACCCAGGACGGATTGAAAGAGATGGTTAAAACAAATGGGAAGCTATTGACATCTGCCCATGTTTCATCAGAGATTGCACACCAAAGCAAGGAACCAAGTCGACTTGGAGAACGACTTAACATATACATTTGTCGAACTGCACCAAAAAATCATAAATTCTTGGAACTAAGCGGTTTTAACCCTCATATTAACGTACGTCACTTCGTGTTTAACAAAATAATTGGGCAAAAACTGACGCTTTCCTTATTTGCATGTCAAAAACAATTAGTGGTAGTCTTTATTTCCTGTCAGTTGAAGCAATAGGCAGTAGTGGTTAGAAATTTAACTTTTTAAACTAGAACTTTGGAGGGGTTATAGTCTCTTGTGAAGCCGTATTGTAAGTAACAACCTCACCAAATTTGAGAACTATTGCACTAGTTGCACTCAATGAATTACACTGTGAATGGAACGAACAGGAGGATATTTTTGGTTGGGCAATAAACGCTCTATATCTTCCAACCGTTGCGGCAGCATTAACTGTCGCACATATAACTGCGTTTTGTATTGGCATGGAGTTTTCAGTGAGATAGCTAGTGATTACCACAAATATAGACTGGCTATTTGTATGAGTTTTAATTCTCCCGGCAACAGGCATCTCCACCATCAATTTATTGTCATTGAACAATCGGACATATGTCACGCAAAGACGTCGTTGTCTGGAAGAATACATTCACCCAATTGTAATGAAAGTTTTCCGGACTGCGGTAAAGTACCTAAAAGACTTTCTATGGCCTGAGACATCTAATCTATTCGTGTAGATACAGTCGAATTGATGAGTGGTACAATGTGAATTGTTTCCTGTGAATTCATACCCATCAGGTCCGACAGTAATATTGCTAATCAAGACAAGCTAATATTTTCTCCAAGGTTCTCTGTTCTGTGATGTAAGTATCTGATTTTACAACACGCCCTAAGTCAATTTGTCATTTCTTCGCTCCCAGAAACCATTGTCTTTAAAGTTGGTCTGTTTTCAAACAATCCCGCATTTTTCAGGAAAAATCCATAGTTTCCGTTTTCGTCCTTATGAACACATTGCAAATGATTTTTTGGTTGCGTACTCCCATTTGAAGGAGTGTTTTGGTAAATGAAACACAAGTATAGCGGGGTTCTGAGTTGATGCTACCAATCCAAATGACAGGTATTTCACGGAGTGCTTCAGACATTTCTTCTTTGCCGAAAAGCACATTTCTGAAATCTGTCATTGTGAATTGTTTTTATATAACAGATCTCCGTAATATATCTGTGATGTGAGAAACTAGGACTCTACACCTTGTCCTACCCTCAAGCGCGAGTCGACCTCATTATAACCAACCGTATCCTACATCTCGGTGACCTCCCCATTCTGAGGCCAATGCTGCACGTAAAAGGGCCATGCAGCACAAGCGGACACGTGTTCCGGATGTAGTGCTGCATATGAAGCGAGTTCCCTACCCATGGTGCTTCGAACGGAGAGTGATAAATATTTGGAACAGTTTGCCTGAACATGTGATAGAGGCAACATCTGTACAGCAGGTGAAAACGTTGTTAGATTTATATTTTATCACCAATCGATTCAGAGAAGGATTGCGCATTTATGATGACATCTTACATTTGAGTTCCGCAATACAGTGAGTCAGATATTTTACATGTTACATGAGAACGATGACGATATTCACGGCTGGCAATTTTTATAACGCTTTTCACCATAGTTCGAGAGTTGTAGAGAATTTATTTCTACTTGCACTATAATACAGTATGCAGTACAACCATATGTATCGCTTTTGTGTTATTTTTCATACACGATTACATCATGGGTATTAAATAACATCCTTTAAAAAGGTGAAGCACGCAGTAAGGTGGCACTAAGTGTATTCTTGCTTGACCGTGAGATTATAAGACATTTGGCAAGCATACTTGTTACATCAGTTGGTAGTCACAATGTAAAAGTGTAAAATTTAGAAACTGTTAGAGGTGACCCAAATGTGGTTTCTAAGCGTGATTTGAAAATACCATGGATTGCTAAAATGATTGAAGAAATCTTCTTGACAAAAACCAGTGAAGAAAACAAATTGAACTGAGAAACTGACAGTGCTCACTGGACATACATGCATTAGAGGAAACTGCGCTAGCACTGACAACAGGCAAAATGAAGGACAGAAGAGACAAATAAGGAAGAGAATGCCGGATAGCTCAAAAAACCAGCATTGGGAGTGTGAACAACGAAGCTAATGGCGTACATAAGCACTTGCCAAACTTCGCGACCAATGCGGGCTGACAAGACATTTGATTATTATTATTAAGTGAAGTATTCTACCATACACGTTATGTTTTACATACTCACCAAAGAAAACTGATATCCACACCTATGATCTAAGTTGGCAAAACTGCTCGCTACTTGGAAAATTAGCTGAACTAAATGTTTACAAAGCGTTATAACGCTTCCTAGCTGTTTCGACGCTTAGTCGGAACGAACGAACGTCCTTCAGAGATAGTACTCCACGTGGTCAGATTAGGCACTCGAAATCGGAACGTTACGGGCGAGCGTGACCTAGCTGTCAGACGTACACGCGAGCTGAGACTGGAGGCGAAATACAGGTAACCTAGCCCTACGGCACAAAGACCCAGCAGGAAGAACTGACCGTTACATGAGTTGTCACACAGTGATATTGGAAGCATAACACTTGCAAAGAGAACTATTTTAGGCAATTCACTTCAGGCAAATCCAATTACAAGACAGATAAACGTACAGGTAAACGAACGCTGGGGATATGATTGATTGAACGAAGTCGATCAATGCTCCACTCGATACGCTCGAACGTCATGAGTCGCGCGAGCACGCGTGGAGACGCACACACGCACTTAGAGCAGATGCCTTGGTCAACAGATCTACATTGGTCACTGTCGCATCCGCGGTCCGACATTACGACCAAGTCAACAGTATGGATTGTATCCGTGTTCTCTGCTTGCACTAATGCGGCTGAAGTATTCTGATTGCAATGGTTTCAGCGGTGGCCAACAAACACGTTCTGATTCTTTTGGGGCTGAGCCAAGGTGCCGTGTAGACTACCTTGCGTGCGTCATTAGTTCGAATCTGATAGCCGGTAGTAAGCAGATGTTCGAGGATCGAGCTGCGGACATTCGTAACCATACCATATTACAAAGAGGCAGGGCAACGCTCCGCTATCAGCCTAGCTAAACTCCTGGTCGTGTGCCCGAGGTATCTTGCATCAAATGTGCAGGTGAATTGATATAGAACAAAAGATTTGGAATGAGCCGGGATTCTATCTTTGAGGCGTTGGTTGACGAGCGGAACAGTTTCAGCAAATATGTGAACTTTGACGGTCGGATATGTCTTGCACACCGCCAGTAATAGTCTTCTATTCAGTAAGTCGAAAATGATATCTCTTTTGAAAGGAACTGAAACATCCTTCTTCCTTGCAGTCGGTATCGTATTAATTTGATCCGAAACAGTGGAATGCATTGTGATAAATGTCGCGGAATACGCGTTGCACTGCAGCGTCTTTAAAATAAACTCCATTTCCGCTTCTAGCGTTTCTCGACTACCAATTCTTGCCACCCGATGGTACAGACAACGCACGAGGTTCCTTTTGTACGTAATGGGTACATAACTAAGATAGTGCGTGTACCGACCAACCCAACTTGTCTTACGGAAGATTCTTCTCTCGAGTGGGTCATTGGTTCGACGTTGCAACAAAACATCCAAAAACGGAAGTTCACCGTCATCCACCAGCCCCGAAGTGAATTTTACTATTGGATGGCTAAACAGATCCAGTAACTGAGCCGCATCAACGTGGGAATCATACACCATGACGTGTCATCCATATACCTCTGATAGTGATCAAGGGAATTGATATGGTGCCGGATAGAGCCACGCTCGACTTTTACGAGGAAGAAGTGGGCAAATAACAGCCCTAAAGGCGACGCCATAGCAGCTCCATCTATTTGTCTATAGTACTTTCCTTCGAATAAGAACTGCTTGGTTAAGGAACTGCGTGAGATTATCATTTGCACAGGGATTTCAGTGGCAATGTTGTTATCAGTTATGTAATCGCAAATAGAGTTCACAGTGGCATTGGCCTGAGAAAAACTCAGTTCGTGTAAGTGTGGCTTTGTGCTGTAACTGCCGCAGGTTCCTGACGAAAATCCGCTGGGTTCACCGCAGACTGCACAACAGATGCATCAGTGTCCTGGGTAAAGCGCAGTTGGTTCACTGTCGATAGGCATCAAAGTCCTAAGGTCGATTAGGATGTTAGTTACGCAGTCTAAGTCATTCTATGGTGATTGTGAGTCTAAGGTGAACCCGACGAAATCCGCGCCAGTTATACCAGCTGCGCAACAAAAGTCTGCAGATCTGTCTTTCACATCTTCGCACAGCTAATTGCGCGCGCGTAATTCATTCCACTGACCGCTAAGGACCGGGAGAGATTAGTGCGCGGGGAGAAGCCATCAGAAACTTATTTGTATTATCACAACCCACTTTCCACAGCATGGTCCACTTTGTCCTTCCGTAGCTCCCTTAAAAATTTCCCCGCTCAGCCCCCCCCCCCCAGGAATACTCTGTGGTCCTTGTTAAGAATCGCTGGTGTATACCACCGACCGAAGACAGATTGCACACGGTGTCAGGTTAACGGTCACGCTAGCCGTTCTCGGGTTAAAGTAAAACCGCAGTAAATTGGCCCCTCAATGTTATGGAGCAAAGTGGTCAGCATACAGAGATCTGGATAGCCTAGTCTTACATAATGAACGGTTAATCAAAATTGTTCATATTTAGTATGTCGCCAACGCTAACCATTTGGTTAATTATCCGGCATGCAAAGTTTATTTTTTTCAGGCTATCCGTCGCGCATCAGATATTTTTCTAGTCATCCGGTCCCCTGTATATCAATATTTTATTCTCTACTTCGCTTCCCCATTGTTGGTAACGATTGGGCCGATCTCCTGAGATGACGGAATAAAGCTAACAAAACTGTCTATAGCGATTTGTCACAGACCTACTGGCGATCAAATTTATGCCCGCTCAAGGCAAATTGTCACCGACTCTGCGATTAGACTAGAAGTTAAGATAGGCTGAAAGTCTACAAACAGTAAAATAAAGAAAAACACAGCGCTCATTTATCTCAGCGAGCCCATTATTAACTATACATAACAACAGATCCGAGGATGAGTTAAAACGGTGATTGCTCACTTGCTATTATGGCACACAGCCACAAAGACAGGTGGGGGCGTGGAAGTGCGGATGAAACTTCTCTAGGGCTTACTCCGCAACTAAGGGGGTTTCAAGGGGACGATACGACGAATAATCATAATCACAAGGTTTTCAAAAAATTTCATCACATTTTCTAACATTCTTACTGACCGTAATCCCGAATACCAAGCTTGGAGCATCACTGAATAATAGGAAATATTAGCTACAAATTGAGATCCTGTTGAAGAAATTATAAGAATATATATATATATATAAATATATAAATATATATATATATATATAATTTGGTCCGATTGTGTGGACTTGCTGTTTTTCTTATCTAAATTACTCCAACGCGATCCTGACTCAATTTATGAAATCAGATCTTATGCACTGATAATGAACTCACGTCACACTAACGGGTTTCCCCGCTGTTCCGCTCAATTCCTCCATTAGAGCGTCGATTTGTACCTGAATCGATTGAGGGACCTTGCGATCCTCTCCATTGCTACTGAGATAGGCGCTGACAGGCTCACTGTTATACAGATGCCGGAGAAGAGCTTGTCGCAGCGCAATTGCCCTTGGAGTATCATAGTTCGAGATACCTGTGGCACACAAAGGAGAGAGGTATATTTAGATACTTAGTCGAACTGGTTGCCGATAGCGTAAGCGACAGATGTGATTTAATAAGTCGACAGAAGATCGCTGAGGGCATCGATATTTTAGCAAACTCTACATCAATACTGCTATTAGCTAGTAAGGCCTGTGGACGCAAAGGTCCCTGTGGTTTGTACACGTGGTGTTCCTCGTCAACCTTATAAAGCGTATGACACGGCTGAGACTAGTTTTTCGAATACATGGGAATATGGGAATTATTGGATGAGATTATGATGACAGCCTGTGTGTGTGTGTGGGTTTTGTTCTGTGTCGTGGCAAAATCCTGCTGCTTTTTTCATGGTGAATGGATTCCTTAGCGAGTTTGTCTTTTAAATTGATCCTCTTCTCCATTAAAATAGATATCCCTATGGAAAATGGCTTAGGAACATCATTAGGGTGCAGACGAAAAAATGTGTACCCTAGCGGATGAGAATGTACATATCAAATACTGATCGCGTCAGCCCTGCACTGGAATCCTCGGCATGAATGGAGTGAGTTTGGAGAACAAGCCTGCAATACAACCGAAATGCTGTCGCGCAAATCATTACTCAACTGATGCTGATTTTGCTGTTGAATGCTGTATTTGAATGACTTGCGTCGACTGGGCCCGCATACTGGTTGATATAGACTTAGACTAGCTAATGAAATTACTGAATAGACTTTTCAATCATCTGTACCAAGCAACCATATCTCGGAATTCTGTAAACCCAATAATGTTAGTCAGCTGGCAGTGGCCACAAGGTGGGAAAGTGTACATTATCACAAATATTTCAAGTCACGAAATGGTTGTGCACCACTGATGGGTACGGAAAGGTGAGAAACCGGTGAGAGAGCGTCCATAAGAGTTCTGCTTTCATACCAAAATCTGAAAATAGATGTTTATGGATGACAGGCGCTGATGATGAAACCCCCATACAGATTCTTGAACAACTAGTTAGCATTGGCAAAACTTGACCACATCAACCTGCATTTCAAGGAGATTGATTCCAAATGTGACCATTAATTTTGGACAACACGTGCCCCCACACTGAGCACACAGTTACTGTCGGTTGCCCTAGAATAAGGGTGTCCAAACTTTCTCAATGAGGGACTTATTATGGGATGTAAACTTTTGCCGGGCCACACTAAGTTAAACGTCGGGGTAATAATCAAAAGTGACACGTTATAAAAGTTTATTACAATGGTTAATGTGTGGCGTGAAAACGACAGGCTCATATGCACTGGTTCTTGTACTCAAGATACAACGTAGGTGCGAAGCACTTAGCCTCGTTCTCATCCGGTAGTTGGTGAAATTCAAAACCCTGAATGTCTACTTATTTAAGCATGTCACGTTAAAAAGCTGAGGATGTTCTTAGCAAGTGTTTGCATCTTTTGACATCTGTTTTTATTCGGCTGGCGGAAAAATGGATGCGAGATGGTAGTTGGTGCCGACTGCGACAACAAACATCCCTTTGCGACTCAGTGAGCTCCAGTCGCAGGTGGCCTGTATGATTAGCAGGATGCATAAATGAAGGCGAAGGAAAAAGACCGATCTCTTTTTAATAGATGCAAAGTTCCAAAGAGCCATAAAAACACATCATACGCGTACACAGTATCAGCGACCAATATATGTATACACATACATATATATATATATATATATATATATATATATATATATGCCCCATGCTGAGGCTGATGTTGCATTCTTGATGCTTCTTCACCGCAGTTGGGCTAAACCAACTAACACTTAAACTAGGTCTCTTTTTAAGCTGGATAAATTTCATTCCGCTTGATTTGGTTTGTTCTGCCTCCCGGAATAATGTTCTATTAACTGGCCACGTTGATTACACTAAGTGCGCTTATCTTTGGTAATTTTGTTGCGTTTGTAGCATTTTAAGTAACTCGTAGACATTTCTTATTTATCGCGGATTTGTTGCTAACCAACTTACTTCATACGGTAATTTAGCGAAGAGTTATGCCACCGTATCTGTATGCATTATTGGATTTATTTTATTTCAGCTTGTCGTTTAAAGTGAATGGCTGTTGTTTGATATCCCTGGTATGGTTGCGCTTGATGTGTATGTTGACAAGGTGCCAACCTGTCTATTACCCACTACATCGTTCATACTGGCTCCAGGAGACAGTTGGTCGTTGTTGGAGGGGACGGGGTGCACGGTTCTTGTGGCCGTGCTAGGCTCAAAGAGCGGTTCCATGCACTCAGTGTGGAGCGGACTACGGTCCAGCCACCGCCTTGTGTGCGGTTGATTCCCCCCCAAATACAGCGTGCTTTTGTTTGACTGTGAAGGAGTGTGGGCCGGCTCCGTTGATGAAACGTGGTTCCCATCCGCATGCCTCTCGGTCTTATTCCTTCGGGTTTACACTGTATATGGGGTATGTGGTTGGAGCTGTGTGTGGTGCAGCGCAAGCCATCTATGGTCCCTCTGTAGGCGCAGGCGTCCTGTGGCTTGCCACAGTGACAGGCAAATCCGAAACCGGATGCCGCCAGACATATATATATATATATATATATATATATATATATATATATGCACATGCACTTAAACTGGGTCTTTGTAATGTAAGTAAAATTCACCACAAGTTATTTGGTTTGTTCTGCTTACTTGATAATCTTCTCCTTACTTGCACAAGTCGCTCACGCAAATTGTGGTAAACTTGCGTAATTTCATCTCGTGGTACTTTTAAATAACTTTCGGACATTTTGTACTTATCACGGATTCACTTATAACCAATTACTTCCATATGCTTATTTATCGAGTATTTATGTCGTCATATGCGTTTACTTTAATCGATATCGGCACTGCAATTGATTGGCTTTTGTTTGACATCCAAGGTGTGGCTGCCCTTGATGTGCATGTTGAAAAGGTGCCTGTTACATGTGTGTCGTCCGCTAAACTGCTGAGCCGATGAGCAAACACCGACACATACAAATCGATTGACCGATAGCTGATTCGTCCGCACTTTTTCCTTGTGCTGCTTGGTTCCTTTTCGAATTATTCATCTGATGTAACCTACAAGCTATCTATTACAGTTTTTGACACGTCCCATCCGGTTTGTGTTCTTATTTACTTCCTGCGCGGACTAAGGGTCCAGGTGCGATCCAGCAATACTCGAGTAATACGTATGAGCGCCTACCTGTCTAATACCCGCTACCTCGTCCATCCTGGATCCAGCAGACAGTTGGTCGTTGCTGGAGGGGACGGGGTGCACGGTTCTTTTGGCCGTGCTAGGCTCGAAGAGCGGTTCCATGCACTCCGTGTGGAGCGGACTACGGTCCAGCCACCGCCTTGTGTGCGCTTGATTCCCCCCAAATACAGCGTGCTTTTGTTTGACTGTGAAGGAGTGTGGGCCGGCTCCGTTGATGAAACGTGGTTCCCATCCGCATGCCTCTCGGTCTTATTCCTTCGGGTTTACACTGTATATGGGGTATGTGGTTGGAGCTGTGTGTGGTGCAGCGCAAGCCATCTATGGTCCCACTGTAGGCGCAGGCGTCCTGTGGCATGACACAGTGACAGGCAAATCCGAAACCTGATGCCGCCAACCATATATATGCATCGGGTTGGACAGATGTCATCGGTCCGCGTGACATTGGTTCAGCGAATGCGAACGGTGTCAGGCTGCTCTTAATGACCTCCACTCACCACCTGACGATCATGAACACACGGATTGCACTGAGCGCAAGTGATACAGCAACTTGGACGCACCCACGGAGTGGTCAAGCTCACCTGCTTGACTATGTCATCGTACGTCAGCGTGATATGCGTGAGTGGCGCATGACACGTGTACTGCTGGAGCTGAGTGTGTCACTTATCATAAATTTGTTGCGGACAAAGCCATACATAAATTTCGTCGATCTATGTAATGCACTCTCGCCTTGACTAGGCGTTCCTTTAGCATTCTCTCCCTCGGTACTGGGGCGAAAAGTACTGAGCTGTAGAAGGTGATGGCTGCACGCCTGGGTGATGTGGACTGCATAGCCACAGTGGGCGACCTGTGGCACCACATTCGCGACCAGGTGACAGCTGCTGCCTAGGAGACCATCAGGTGCGCAAACCGTAAGCGACCTGATTGGCTTGAAGTGAACAATGCAACGATTGGCGCAGTGGTCGGTGAAGAATGCAGCATTTGCTGCGCATGTGGCAGACCCCAGTGACTTGGGGAAGAGTAGTCAGTTTCGCAAACTTCGACGGCAACTGATCCCAGAGCTCCGTCGCATTAAAACTGCGTGTTGGATGGAGAAGGCGAACCAGGTGGAATACTACTCCGAAAGCCGCCAACATAAGAAACGCTTTGCTTCCTTGAAGGCGGTGCATGGACCGAGATTGGAGCCGCTAAGGACGCTGATCGGTGGTGGTTCAGGCGCTACCTGCACACAGACTGCAGACATAATGCTGATTTGGCGAAACACTTTGACAGTCACTTAACCAACCCTTCAGATTTTGATTGGTCTAATTTGAATGGTCTGAAGCAGTACAATGTGATAATGAGTCTAGCGGACACGCCGACACTGGATGAGACGCAGAGAGCACTTGCACAACTACGAAATCGCAAGTATGCCGGTGCCGACATGATCCCACCTGAAGCAGTGAAAGAGGACGGACAGCGTTGGTGACTGCGCTGCACCACTTGGTGCAACGTGTATGGACTGAGGAAGAGATGCCCATGAGTTGAAGGATGCCCTTGTGCTACCACTGTACAAGGGCAAAGGTAGAAAGCAATGTTGCACGAAATATCGTGGCATCAACTTGCTGAGTTGTGTGGGCAAGGTGATTGCCCGAATCCTGCTCAAACGTCTCGTCATTAAGGTTATGGAACCGGACGTGGCGGAAGAGCAATATATATATATATATATATATATATATATATATATATATATATATATATATGGCGACATCCCCTTTCGGATTTGCCTGTCGTTGTGGTCAGCCACAGGACGCTTGCGACTACA